AGAGGGAGTAGAATTCTTTCAGACCTTCTCCCCCACCCCGAAGATGACCACTCTTTGGGTGCTACTGTACGTTGCTGCTCAGCGTGACTACGAGCTTCACTCTCTTGACTTCAGCACAGCTTTCTTGCAGGGCAGCCTGCACGAGGAGATCTGGCTGCGCCGCCCTCCTGGCTTCACTGGGTCGTTTCCTCCTGGTACCCAGTGGAGCCTCCGGCGGCTGGTCTACGGTCTCCGCCAGGTGCCACGTGAGTGGCATGACACACTGAGAACTGCTCTTGCGGCACATGGGTTCGCGCCATCTACTGCTGACCCGTCGCTGTTTCTGCGCACCGACACTTCGCTGCTGCCGTTCTACATCCTCGTGTACGTTGACGACTTGGTCTTTGCCATTGCTGACACTGAGGCTCTTGCCCACGTGAAGTTGGAGCTGTAGAAGAGACACACGTGCACAGACTTGGGTGAACTGCGCAGCTACCTTGGCTTGCAGATCACCCGGGACAGAGCACGCCGCACCATCACACTGACTCAGTCACACATGGTGCAGCATGTCCTTTAGCGCTTCGACTTCACTTGGTCCTCAGCACAGGCCACTCCTCTGGCTATAGGTCACTCGCTCTCAGCTCTGCCTTCGGATGAGTCCGTAGAGCCGAGTGGTCCTTACCCAGAGCTAGTTGGTTTACCCTGATGACTTGCAATCGTCCTGACCTAGCATACCCTCTTGGCCTTCTGGCCCGCTACGTGGCTCCTGGCAGGCACTGAAAGGTGCACTGGGATGCTGCAAAGAGGGTATTGCGCTACTTGTGCAGTACATCCGGCATGGGGCTCGTGCTTGGAGGAGGGAGCTCAGTTGTTCTCACTCGGCACTAAAAAGCTTCTTGGGTTGACGACCAGGCTACTCAGCGGTCGTCACAGGGTTACACCTTCAGCCTTCGCTCTGGTTCAGTTTCTTGGCGTTCTACTTGTTCGTCTTCTGTTCTCAGCTCCAGTTGTGAGGCTGAGATCTACGCCACAGCCATGGCTGCATAGGAGCTACGCTGGCTCACCTACCTGCTGACCGACTTGGGAGAGCGGCCTAGTTCTCCTCCAGTGCTGTACGTCGACAACAAGGCTGCCATTGCCTTGTGTGAGGAGCACAGATTGGAGCACAGAACGAAGCACATCGCTCTCCGTTACTTTCTGGCTCGAGAGTTGCAGCAGCGCGGTCAGCTTCGTCTGCGTTACGCGGCCACTCAGGCCAACACCGCTGATATATTCACCAAGGCACTTCAGCCTGGTGATCATCAGCGCTTCTGCACTATGCTGGGGCTGGTGCCCACTTTTCCTCACTTGCTGTAGACTTTGCCTGTACTGTGATCTCTATATATTTATACCTGCCTGTTTGCTTTGCTAGGTTGAGATCACCTTGCTGTTTGTGTTGCATATATGCCTCTGCATGTGAACTGGCCATGAGGCCCTTTGCTTGTGCTCAGAGTGTGTGGTGACGTTGTGATCCACCCTGAGCTTGTTTGCCTTTCTTGACTGGTCTTGTGACCCCTTGCTCTCCCCCACTTTGCCTATGGGGGTGTGTCAAACATCATATATGTGTTATTGCTGTGTAGGCTATAGTGGGTTAGCCTTTAAGGGGTACACAACTCTAGGGTTTCATACTTTTACTCCAATGTTTCCTAGTTCAATCACTTCTTGTTTATGACATCATTATGACATGGTATTACGAGCCTAGGTTAGGAACGTAGGACCGCTTGTTCCTAAGGGCCCACCGTTCCGCTAGAAGCGCCCTCGTGCGCCCTACCTTCCTCGCGCCCTCGTGCGCCTCTTTACTCGTGCGCCCTCGCGCGCCCTTCTTCTCACGCTGCCCGTGCGCAGCCCGTTAGCCACCTGCGCGCGGCCCGTTTTTCGCACGCGCAGCTTTCTAGCCGCCCATGCACGGCCCGTTTCTCGTGCGCGCGACCCGCTAACCGCCCGCGCAGTCGACGCTGCCCGCGCGCAGCTTGCCCTGGCCTCGCGCGGCCCCTAGCACAGCCGGCGAGCTACTCGTCGACTGTAGCGCGCCGCCGCTTCGCGCTCGTAGGCCGCCGCCCGTACGTAGGCCGCCGCCCGCACGTAGGCCGCCGCCCTCACGAAGGCCGCCGCCCGCACGTAGGCCGCCGCCTCGCATAGCCGCAAACCGAGCGCCGGCCAACCCTCCCTGCTCGAGCCGCGCCGCGCCGTCCTGCCCGAGTCGCGCCGCCCTGACCGAGACGCGCTGCCCTATTGTGCACCACCTGCAGCAACTGCTGCACGTGCTCCTGTTGTTACTGCTACTACTACTGCTACTATTCCTACTACTACTACTGCCACTTTGGCCAGTCCTACCGTTCTCACTTTTGACGCTGAGGGCCGTCCGATTAAGTTTGACGTCTGGCTCGATGACCTGCACATGTTCCTCCAGATCACTGCCAAGGACGATGTTTCCCTGTTTGACCACACGTCCGGCGCCACTCCCGCACCTGCTGCTACTGCTAACAGTACGGCTCGTTCATAGTGGCGGACCCGTGACGCTCACGCTCGCCTAGCCGTTCGCAGTCACCTGCCGTTAGATGAGCGCGAGTATTTTGGCCAGCATAAGACCGCTCAGGAGCTGTACAATGCTGTAGTTGCGCGCTACTCCTCCCCTGCTACTGCTGTGATAGGGCGTCTCTCGCTGCCCTATCTCTTCCCCGATCTGTCCGCCTTTGCCAGTGTAGCTGACCTTATCACTCATCTCCGTACTAGTGATCTCCGCTACCGTGCCGCCCTTCCTCCCGATTTCCTCGCCAAGAACCCTCCCCGAATGTACCTCACACTCTACCACCTAGTCACTCGCCTCCTTGACTCTCTTCGCGCTGTCAGGGACCACTTTCTCGCCCTCTCCCCCACCGACCTCACTGTCGACCTGCTCGAGAAGGAACTCCTTGCAGCTGAGACTAGTATTGTAGCTGTAGGTGCCTCTTGTGGCGACCCTTGCACTCCCTTCTTTGAGGGATGTTCCCCCTCCCCCCTTCTCCCCTCCATTGCATCTGCTGCTGCTGTTGACTACCTCGGTGCTGAGGAGGTTAGGGTTGTGTCTGCTCCTAGTGGGAGGCGCAAGGGCGGCAGGGGCAAGGGGGGCAAGCGTGGCGGAGGTGGCAGCGGGGGCGGCGGTGGTGGAGGGGGTGGAGGGGGCGGGGGTGGTGGCGATGGTGGGAGTGGTGCTGGTGGTGGGGGGGTCAGTGGCGGAGGCGGGGGTAGTGGCGGCGGCGGTGGTGGGGGTGGCGGGGGTGGTGGTGGCAGTGGTGGAGGCAGTGGAGCTGGTGGCGGGCGCGGTGGAGCGGTGCAGCGCGGGGGGTTCGGTGGTGGCCAGAGGCAGCAGCAGCAGCGTCCCAGCGAGACCCCATCGCCCCAGCAGCTCCGTGAGTGGTACTCTCAGCGTGGGGGGTCTGGGGGTGGAGATACCTGCCTGTACGTCATCCGCACAGGTGACCGCACTGGCCAGACCTGTGGGAGATTCCACACGGCACAGCGCTGCTTCTTTTGTCTCGACGACGCCTGGCGCGATCAGTTTCCTGACGCCTCTGAGCTGCCCCGCTGGGCTGATCTACTGAAAAAGAACATTGATATCTTTGCTCTTGATTTTGATGCTATCCTTGGTGCCATGTATGCATTGACTATTAGTGTTGAGGGTGACTATTACCTGCGTGTACCGCCCGACCCGGGTATTGGGACCAGTGAGGTTGCCGCTCTAGGTGCTAGTCCGTCTGCTGCCCTAGGTCCTGGTGAGGCTGCTGCTCTACGTGCTAGTGTGTTTGCTGCTCCAGGTGCTCGTGCGTCTGCGCTTGCTGGTATTGCGTCTACTGAGGCACTGCACACCTTCACACTGAACTCGGGTGCTTCCCGCTGCTTCTTTCGTGACCGCACTGTCCTTGAGCAGCTAGCTCGGCCTGTTGCTGTCTCCCTGGCTGACCCCTCTAGGGGCCCGGTCCTTGCGACCTCCTCCACTGTCCTCCCTTGTCCTACGGTCCCGTCTGGCACCCTGTCAGGTCTTTACCTCCCCTCGTTCTCTAAGAACTTGGTGGCAGGCTGTGCTCTCCAGGACGGGGGTGTTCACCAGTTCACCCCTGCCTATGAGCGTGTGACCCACTGCACGTGTGCTCGGACGGGTCGCCACCTAGCTACCTTCACTCGGCAGCCAGGGTCGGACCTGTACACACTGACCACTGAGTCCCCTCAGGTAGCTGCGTCTGCGTCTACGTCAGGTCAGCTGTCGGCCCCCTGCTCGTGTTGCACCCTGTCGCACCAGACCGTCCTCTGGCACCACCGCCTTGGTCACCCGGCAGTGCAGTGCCTTCGTGGCATGCACTCCCGGTACCTTGTCTCTGGTCTTCCCAGGACCCTGCCTCCCCTGCCACCCTTCCTTGCCCCTCCCTGCCTTCCTTGTGTCGAGGGGCGGCAGCGCGCCGCTCCTCACTCCTCCTCGTTCCCCCTGACAGAGGCTCCCCTGCAGACTCTCCACCTGGACGTGTGGGGCCCAGCCCGCATCCGTGGACAGGGCGGCGAGCGCTACTTCCTGCTGGTGGTTGACGACTACACGCATTACACCATGGTCTTCCCCTTGCGCACCAAGGGTGAAGTCCCTGATGTTTTGATCCCTTGGGTCCGCAACACTCGTCTCCAGCTGCACAAGCACTTCCACACGGACTTTCTTGTCTTGCGTCTGCACTCTAACAGAGGTGGTGAGTGTTCCTCCGACCTCTTGAGGGCCTTCTGTCAGGGGGAGGGCATTGAGTTGTCGTTCACACTTCTAGCCTCTCCTCAGCAAATTGGGGTTGCTGAGCGCCGCATTGGCTTAGTCATGGAGGTAGCTCGTACCTCCCTGATCCATGCGGCTGCTCCCCATTTTCTGTGGCCGTTTGCGGTTCGATACGCTGCGCATCAGCTCAACCTCTGGCCCCGTGTCTCCGTTCCGGAGACCTCGCCGACACTGCGTTGGACGGGCGAGGTTGGCGATGCATCGGTGTTCCGGGTCTGGGGATCTCGTGCTTTTGTCCGCGATACGTCCGCGGACAAGCTCTCCACCCGCGCTGTTCCCTGTGCCTTCCTTGGCTTCCCCCCTGACGCGCCTGGCTGGCGGTTTTACCACCCCACCTCGCGCCGTGTCTTCCCCTCTCAAGACGTCACTTTTGACAAGTCGGTACCCTTTTACCGTCTTTTCCCTTACCGCACTGCCCCGCTTCCCCCCCCACCGCTCTTCCTCACCCCACGTGTCCCTTCTGTAGGCCCCCTCCCTCCCCAAGGTCCTGCTCCCTCAGGTGTTTCCCAGGTAGACCCGGTCGAGCCTGTGGAGGTAGCTGTCAACTCTGGTCCTGCGAGGGGTACTGAGCCTAGGGGTGCTGAGACTGAGGGTGCTGAGCCTGGGGGTGCTGAGGCTGGGGGTGCTGAGCCTGGGGGTGCTGAGACTGGGGGAGTTGAGGCTAGGGGATGTGAGACTGACCGTGCTGCGCCTGGTGGCGCTCCCTCTTCACAGCAGCTGCGTGAGTGGTACTCTCAGCGTTGCAGCCTCCGGCGTGGGACTGCTGGAGCTAGGGATTCTGCTTGAGTTGGAGCTGGTGGTGCTGTGGGTGCCGTGTCCCATAGCGGTTGCGTGAATGGTACACTCGTCGGTGCAGACTCCGGAGCGGCGCTCCTAGTGCTGGGGTGCCGCCTGCTGGAGGCCCTGGTGCTGCTGGAGGTGCTGGAGCCTCTGGTCCTGGAGGTGCTCGTACAGGCGGTGCTAGAGCTGCTGGACTGGGGGTTCTGCTGGAGCTGGTGCTGGAGCTACTGGAGCTGGTACTGCTAGAGGTGCTGCTGGTGCTGGTGCTGCTGGAGGTGCTGCTCGTGCTGGAGCTGCTGGAGGTGGTGCTGGGACTGGAGCTGCTGCGGGAGTTGGAGCTGGAGGTGCTGGAGGTGCTGGAGCTGCTGGTGGTGCTGCGGGAGTTGTAGCTGGAGACCCTGGGGCTGAGGGTGCTGGTGCTGTCTCTGCTGGTTCAGGAGGTACTGCGCGGCCGCGGCCGTACTACATTCCGCTTCTTCAGCAAGTTCTTGGCCTCCCGCCCTCTACTGGTCCTACTCCTTCCCTACTGAGTCCACCGCCTGTCCAGTCGAAGTCACAGTTATAGCCTGCCTCTCTGCTGCCTGGTCCTTCTCCTTACTCTGGGCCGACAAGAGGTCTTACGGAGCGTCGTGAGAATGAGTCTCGTCCTACGTCGCCTGAGTCTTGTCCTGCGTCGCCTGATTCTCGTCCAGAGTCGCCTGTCCGTGCTGTCCGTGCTGGTCGTCGTGTTCCGCGTGAGCGTCCTCCTCCTGTCCCTGGCACTCACTATATGACTCTTCGTCCTTCCACCGCTCCACAGCGTGTTCCTCTTCCGTCTCCTCCTGCGTCCTCTCTTCCTGACGGTCCGGACCCGGAGTCTGACTCCCTTCGTGCTGCTAGTCCTACTGTCACGCGTTTCCTCGCCACTGTTGTCACTGACCCTTCCTTTGAGTCCACTGCTGCGTCTGCTCTACTTGCTGAGCTTGTTGACTTTGCTGCCGCCTGTCGTCTATACTACGCCGCTAGCCTTGTTGCTGAGACTGAGTCTGTCTGTCCTCCGTCCGTCGGGGGTGAGTGTGCTCTTGGCACGGACGTTCTTGAGGATAGACATGAGGAGTTTGAGTGCTTTGCCACTGCTTTACCTCATCTCGTGTCTATGCTGATTGCCCCTGAGGGAGACCCAGATGCACCAGACATCCCGACCCCGCGCTCTTACGCAGAGGCGATAGAGGGTCCCTACTCCTCTCAGTGGCAGTCAGCCATGGACGCAGAGATGGCTTCCTGGAAGTCCACAGGCACCTACGTCGTCGAGGTTCCCCCAACTGGGGCGAACATTGTCAGTGGCATGTGGATTTTTAGGGTGAAGCGGCTGCCGGGCTCTCCGCCTGTCTTCAAGGCGCGTTACATTGCACGAGGCTTCAGTCAGCGTGAGGGAGTTGACTTCTTACAGACCTTCTCCCCCACCCCGAAGATGACCACTCTTCGGGTTCTGCTGCATATCGCCGCTCAGCGTGACTACGAGCTCCACTCTCTTGACTTCTGCACTGATTTCCTATAGGGCAGCCTGCACGAGGAGATCTGGCTGCGCCGCCCACCTGGCTTCACTGGGTCGTTTCCTGCAGGTACCGAGTGGAGCCTCCGGCGGCCGGTCTACGGTCTCCGCCAGGCACCCCGTGAGTGGCACGACACACTGAGGACTACTCTTGTTGCTCTTGTGTTTGCTCCTACTCCTGACCCGTCGCTGTTTCTACGCACCGGCACCACTCTGCCGCAGTTCTATGTTCTCGTGTACGTAGACGACTTGGTCTTTGCGACTGCTGACACTGAGGCACTCGCCCACGTGAAGTCGGAGCTGCAGAAGAGATACACGTGCATAGACCTGCGTGAGCTGACAAGCTATCTTCGCTTGCGAATCACCCGGGACAGAGCACAGCGCACCATTACCTTGACCAAGTCACACATGGTGCAGCAGGTCCTTCAGCGCTTCCGCTTCACGTACTCCTCGCCATAGTCCACTCCTCTGCCTACCGGTCACTCGCTCTCAGCTCCACCTTCGGACGAGTCCGTGGAGCTGAGTGGCCCGTATCGAGAGCTTGTGGGCTGCCTCATGTACCTGATGACCTGCACTCGACCTGACCTAACCTACCCTCTTAGCATCCTAGCACGCTATTTCGCTCCTGGCCGACACAGGAAGGAGCGCATGGATGGTGCTAAGAGGGTGTTGCGCTACTTGTGCAGTACGTCGGGCATGGGGCTCGTGCTTGGAGGACGGGCTCAAGTTATCCTCACTGGTCACGCAGACGCTTCTTGGGCTGACGACTTGGCTACGCAGCGGTCGTCACAGGGTTACACCTTCAGCCTTGGCTCCGGCTCTATTTCTTGGCGGTCTACCCGCTCGTCTTTTGTTCTTAGCTCTTATTGTGAGGTTGAGATCTACGCAGGGGCCATGGTTGCACAGGAGTTACGCTGGCTTACCTACCTGCCGACTGACCTGGGAGAGCCGCCTCATTCTCCTCCAGTGCTGTACGTCGACAACAAGGCCACGATTGGCTTGTGTTAGGAGCACAGACAGGAGCACAGAACGGAGCACATTGCTCTGCGCTACTTCCTTGCTCGAGAGTTGCAGCAGCGTGGTCAGCTTTGTCTTGCTTACGTGGCCACTCGGGCCAACACTGCTGATGTGTTCACCAAGGCGCTTCAGCCTTGTGATCATCAGCGTTTCTGTATTGTTCTAGGCCTTGTGCCTTGTGCCTTACTTCCTGACTCTGCTTGTACTGTGATCCTTATAGATGACTACCTGCATGTTTACACTTGCTATGTTGTGATCACTGTATTCCTTGTTGTATTATCAACCTACATGTGAACTGGTCTTGTGACCGCTTGCTTGTGCTCGGAATTTGTGTGGTATCCTTGAGATCCACCCTGAGCTGTGCTTTGGTTTGCTTTGTTTTGACTGGTCTTGTGACCATCTAGTTGTCTCCCACTTAGCCTATGGGGGTGTGTCAAACATTGTATATGTTTCTATTCTGTAGGCTATAGTGGGTTTAGTCTTAGGGGGTACAACATTCTAGGTTTTCCTTCTTGTACTCCCAATGCTGTTAGTTCATTCATCACTCTCTCATTATGACACATCTCCCTTCTTGTTCGCTTGCTGCGCCTTGCCAGCATTCTCAGCCTTTTTTATCATATGGCACTACCTTCTCGTATGGCCAAACTTCTTGCAGTAGGTGCAGAAAGGAGTTCCAGTCCTCTGCTGGCCTCCCTTGTGAAAGGGCTTCTTAGGCTATGACCCATTCTGCTCGCTCTGTAGCTGGAAATGCCTCTTCTTCCAAGGGCATTTCCCATTAGAAGGCTTCGCCGCGTCGTTATGGCCACTAGGGCCTTCATCCCCACTCTGCAGGTAACCCTTGGCGGCATTAAGGCAGGTGTGGACGCTCACGTCAAGCTCAATGACAGCTGTCTTGAGTTCCTTATACGTAGGGTACTGGTTCCTTCCCAGCACAAGCCTCTCGTCACTGAGGCAAGCCATTGTAGAACAAGGACATTGCCTCGTTCCCAGTGAGGGCGACGGTCAGGAGTAGCATAGTCCACTCGAACTCGTTAGCATACTCTTGAACAATACAATTTCCGCACTGCATGCTCTTGATTCGGTTTTGCACTTCGAGGCCCGTCTTTTGCACATGGAAAGCGTCCTTCATTGCGCTGCGAAAATCAGACAGTTTAAAGGTGGCCGACGTTGCTCCGGCAAGCTTCATAGAGTTGTAGACTCTGTTACGCGCAGTCTCATTGAGAGCATCAGTAACAGCAATAACTCGTCTGTCGGGGCGCACGTTGTGGATGGAAAGCATTTCCTCCACATGATGAAGCCAGGATTCCACGTTCGTCTTGCCATGAATGAAATTTGGCAAGGCAGTGGGGAGCGACCCAAATGCAGGTGCGTCGGGCGACATCGGCTCCTCTGTTGGAGCTCCGGCAGAAGTAGAAGGCTGCCCATTGCTAGGAGGGGGGCGATATATACCGCCCCTCCTGAGCTCCCTATATTGCGCTTGCAACATCGTGCAGGTCGATTCCAGGTTGATACACGTAGGATTCAGCTGCTGAAGAGTTTCCTCAAGGCTCTTGATCTAGTTGGACTTGAGGCCAAGAGACCTCCTAAGTTGACGAGCCTCGACAGAGAATTTGTTAAGCTCAGCCTTGATCATTTTAAATCAAGCATTCCGCTCAGCAACTTGAGCCTCAAGCTCATTGATCGTGCATTTCGGCTGCAGCAAAGAAGATGCTTGCTCGGCCACTGTGGATTGAAGTTTTTCAAACTCCTTAGGAAAATTGTTTTCCGTGCCGACGTCATCAAGCCCTTCCTGCTCTTCATTCTCTTCCTGGTTTCCTAGTGCTACTTCCTCTTCTCTAGGAAGGTCACCTATGATATCCTCAGCATTGAGGTCAAGGTCAGGAAATTCTTCCTGTTCCTCAACTGAGGTCATAGGGATATCCTCCCTTGGTGCTTCCTCATTAGGGGTAGCCATGGAGAAGTTGAAGAGAGGGAGATTTAAGCGAGTGTTTCTTCTTTGTTAAGAAACATGATCTGAATAAGGCTCCTCTATCACCCATGGTGATAGGCAAGAGATTTTGAAAAAAATCAGAAATATTTTAATATATCAATTTTCTCACAAAGAGAAAGTAACAGAAAAAGAGTTGTTAAATAAGTCTTCTATTCCAAGAAGGACATAGAGCGAGATTCTCAAACTGCAGAAAGAGCAAGTTAAGAGGAATCTTTTTAGCAAATCTCTTAGATCTGTAATACTTCGCTATTATAAAAATTGCAATGAGTCTTTTGTTGGAAACAAGTGATTTAAGCGCCTCTGTCGTGTCGAAGTCATAAACGGAGCGAAATACAGTGAAGCATCAGCGAGTCAACACTTGGAGGTTGAGAAGTGAAGAAACCGCTGGAGGTTACGCGAAAGTCAAAGGTCAGCGACCTTTGACCTGACAAGTACAGCGCGACAGCAAGGACAAACAGCTGACTCGTTATTGAGCAGTTGCCCGAGTCGTCACTGTATAGAACCGCAATAGCAACAGTAAAACAGTTATTAACTGTATCTCTTCATATTCCTTCTACCCTTATAAAACCTTGTATCCTCTTGTTTTAATCAATCTACTTTGCCCTCACATACCAGCGCAAGGTGGTTCACAGACTTATCATTAAACACTTCCGCTATTACATTGTTCCTACTCAGAGTTTAGTCCTGCAAAGATCCTAAGGGCTTTTCTCAGCCCAACATGATATGAGAGCTATCAGGGCAAACTCAACTATTTCAAAGACACCTACAACATCTGAAAACATGGCAACGCAAAAGGAGAGAAGTTCCTCTAATGGTTCTCCCAGTACAACTCCTACCCCACCTCCGGCCTC